GCTGCCGTTGTTGTGCAAGCGTTACTGTGAGGAGTCCAGAGGGATTCTAGTTATTCCAATGCCTTCCTGATGCACAATGGCCAATGGTTTGCCCTCTTAATGAAACCCGAAACACCTCATTGCTTCTGTATAGAGACAGGCAGGGGACAGATTTTGAGCTGCGGTTACAGAAGTGTATTATATGTGTGTACTCACCTGAGAATGACTTTACAGCTGTTGCTATGACCATTACTGTGGGTTGGATGTGGAAGTCATAATTTGGGATCCCTCTTGTCTCATTTTTGGGTGTAGTGATATTAAAATTACTCTTCTGTACTTGAACTGCTATAGCAATCTGTCTAGCTAATGTCCTCAGCTTGTTTTCTCCTTTCTAAGGATGGAGCACCCTCTCCTACTTTCCTTGTTCATCAGCTATGAAAGCATCCTGGCTTGTTCTTTTCTACACCCTCCTCTCATCTCCACCAAAGCTTCCAGGCATACAGGGATAGGAGTCCCCTGACTTCCTAACCTAGTTGCAGACACACAGCAGATACACACTAAGTATGTGGCTAAAGCGATGAGGAAAAGGACAATAGGAAAATTTGACGGGCTTATTTGGTTTTAGTGACTTTGCCATAGACTGATCAACATCCACATAAATGCAGAACTGGCCAAGGTTCTGAAAGTTCAGAGTGAAAAATGTTAATACCACATAGCTCTGAAATGTTTGGTGAATTTAGCCAATTTGGGTATTGTCATAAGAAACAACCCTTTAAAACTGAAAATGCCAATGATTTTCATCATCTGTGAGTTTGTTCAACCCTTGCTACTCAAAACATGGTCTGTGACCGGCAGCACTGACATCAGCTGGAGCTTGTTAGAAGTTCAGAATCTCAGGGATTACTGCAGACCTGCTGAGTCACAATGTGTAGATTCCCCAGACGACTTGTGTGCACATTAAAGTTTGAGAACAACCGTGTTAAGCACTTAGAGTGTCAGATGTTCTAAGACCATTATAGAGTTTGGGCTCTAGAGTCACACAGTGTGGGATTAAAACCGAGCTCCCCCACACACTCCTCATCAGCTGTGCACCACTGAAAGAGTTGTTTAGACTCACCAAATTTCAGTTTCCACAAACGTGAATTAGAAATATGAGCCCTTCCCACCTTACTGGGTTGTTGTGAGATAACGTAGATAAAGAGCCTTCAATAAAATGCCAGTTAGTATTGTAGTAATTATTAGTATTATTTTCATTATAAAAGAAGAAATATCACAAATAACTTTTGAGATCAGTGTAAGAGAGTGAAAATGAATTTAACGTGATGGTATCATGTTTCTTTTAACACTATACCCAGCAGAATAGGCTATGATTTTGGGGGACCATGTTTTTTTCCAACTGTGTGTCCCAATGTATGTATATAGATGTTCTAAAAATGTAAATAAATAGAATAAATTTTTATATAGTTTCCTAACAAAATTCTATAAATGTTTCTCCTGCCTTGAAAACCTACATATCTTGCTTACATCATGTGTCTTGGTCTTTTGTACAGCCCTCTGTGATCCCTTGCAACTCTGATCTTCTTTGCCATTTTCTTTCCCACATGCCACTCATTTGACATTTATTATGTGCCATAATGCATTGGCATTTATCCTTTATGACTGTTTACTTTCTTCAAACAAGATTATAATGTATCTTAGAGTAGTCAGTAAATATTGACAGATGATATCCCTAGATTAGAGTCCTAGGGGTAATAGGAATGAAATATCATTGACTAATATTCCTGGAAAAAGTAGAAAAATGGAGCCATATATGTTGGACAAAAATCAGTAAAATAGTGAAGTCATTGTGTGAAATGCATGATCATGTATACAATTCATTAAACTTTAGAAACCTCATTTTGTTTGGAAAAATTTGTAGGTTCTAATTGAATCTGGGTAAATGAGAAATAAAGTTAATACTCTCCTATTAAAGGCATTGATTTGACAATCACTATTTTCCTTGTTTCTATATTCAAGGGATAATATTGATAAGCCATTAAACTTATTCTGCGTTTGAGAAATCATCATGTGGGATGGATGTTGATAGGATTAACTTAGAATTCAAGTAAAGTTCAATTCTCAGTTTTGTCACTTACAAATTGTGTAACCTTCGCCAAGTTACTTAACTTCTTTGTGCCTCCTTTTTTTTCATGCAGAAAATGGAGGGGGTTGAGTGGGTGGGAATAATGAAAACTTCATGCTGTTGTTTGTAGGATTAATTAATATATGTCAAGTACTTAGCTCAGTGCCTGGCACGTAATACGTACTATGTGTAAAGTATAAAATTATGAATAATACGGACATGGTGTTTGCTTTCATGAAATGTACAGAGTAGTGGAAGTAACATGCAATTACAGTAGAGTGCTGGATGTCTCTAAATAAAGAAAATAGTAAGCTATAGAAGAAAGCAGAGGAGCCACCTAATCCATATTTGATGCTATGGTGGTCAGAGGTAGGGGTGGAGGTAATTTTCTTTCTTTCTTTCTTTTTTTTTTCCCCAGAGGAAATAAGGTCAAAACTGAAACCTGACCAATAAGGAGGAGTTAATTTGGAGATATATATGGTAGGCATTCCTACCTGCAGGTAGTGAATATGCTCTATCTGCTACCAGGAACCATTTAAATTATAATAAAGGTCATCAGACTCTGAAAGGGATCTGTCAGTGAAATAAGCTTGGAATTACCTGTACTTATAATACAGATAATAAGCAAAAGATTGAAATCCATTCACAGACAGTGAATGGATTGGAGTAATTAAAAGTTTTGAAGCTTGTTGGATTTGTTTGTCTTGAATCAATCAATACACCTATTGTTTTTAAGAATACTTTAGTATTTATGAACCTAATGAATTTCCACAAATATTCCAAACACGGACACAATTACAGACTTTACATGAGTAATGAAAAAAGACAAATTTAACATCATATGCTTTAAAATTCAAATATATCATGTAAGCATTTTGACTTTTTAGTGAACAACTATATTTTAATCTAGAGCATATTGGTATAGTCTTGTATTGTACAACTATTAGTATTAGTTTTTGCCAGTTGAAACGAGCAGTTGTAGAGAGGCAGTACAAATTAGAAGTCAATGTTGGCATACCAATTTTTTAAAGAAAACTTAATATAAAATGCATTTGTCTACACTATTGTTATTGTTCATATAAATTCTAAATATTACTGTTATTTTAGGTAGACTTACTTAAAAAAATAAAACCTGCCTAATTCTCACAAAAATTCAATTAACCATTTTTTTTCTTTTTCTATCCCTAACTTCTTTATTTTCTTTTGTCAGTTTCCTCTTCTGAAAAATAAACGATTAATATTCTTTCCCAGTTGGCTTGATTATATATTGCTTGTCATTTGTTGACTTCTTTGAAGAAAATATTTTAAAATAAAAACATTGCTTTATTTTCTTTTGTCAGTTTCCTCTTCTGAAAAATAAACGATTAATATTCTTTCCCAGTTGGCTTCATTATATATTGCTTGTCATTTGTTGACTTCTTTGAAGAAAATATTTTAAAATAAAAACATTGTAGTTTTACATTGATGCATATTTAATGAAATTTAATGAGCTCCAATTCCTGAATATTATGAAAAGGATATTTTTTATAAAATATTTTCATTGATCATTTCATTAAAAACAACTTCACATCTATTTGTCAATATCTGGTATGTCAACTGCACCAACTTAAAAATCTAATTTAATGATCTCCATCCCCCCAAAACAAAGGATGAAAGACGGGGACATTTATGGTTGATGAAACTTAAGTTAAATGACTTAACCAGAATTATACAGTCCTCAGATGTTAACATTTTAATTGAATTCTTTTAACTCCATGCTCAGTTATTTTTAATTCTATATCATGTTATAAAATCCCTTCTTTGATTTAGTTTTTTTGTTCTTAAAAATAAGACTTGTAATCAGGCATTAATCCATACTAGAACAGTCATATAAAAATCCACATCATAATGTGAATGTTGTGTTCCACTTCTGAGTGGAACATAAGCAAATAGTAATGTATTGTGAAGTACTTATATGACAAAAGGATTTATTTTCCTATAGGTCTCAAAAAGTAGCTTGCTTGCTTTTCTATTAGAATTTAAAGTTTGTTCTCATGACTACAGGAAGCTGTAGGTATATAGCTCTCAAAAAATGCCTTGATTTTCTTTTAAAATTTTAAGTGTTTTTAGATCACTGCAGGAGGCTGCTGGTGTGCTGCTTAAGAGCACAGTCTCTGAAATCTAGGTTGTGTTTCCGTGAGTAAGTTAGTCTCTCCTTGCCTCAGTTGCTTATCTGTAAAATGGGGATGGTAATGCGTATTAATATGTATCTTGTAGGATTGTTATAAAGATGGATAAATATAGACAGAAATAGATTGCTTAGTAGATTATTTGATCCATGAAGCATAAGTTTTAATAGTTATTTTATACAAATATAAATAAATAAAATTAATAAGAAAGCTAAATCAGAATTCATAAGCATATTTAATTAGATAACAATTAGCTAAGCTTCTGATAGCTAAAGCAATTTCTCAGTATTCATTATATGACATATTTTTTGAAGGCTAGGTGGAATATTCATTTATTGCTGTGAGCTACACTGGAAGTTGGAAAAAATACAGAGAATTGCTTAGAGGAGAACTAGTATTTTATTTATCTTTAGATATTTGCAACTAGCAAAGTTCATTTGATAAGAGTACTTTCAGAAGGGGGAAAAAAACCACTTCCCCTCCCTCCAAAAAAATTAGAAATTAGTGCATCTCAAACATTCTGCATTTTTGATAGATGGTAAAAAATAAAAATAAAAAAATTAAAAAAAAATCACATCACAGAAGTGATTGTTGCCACCCAGCATGTCTCTTTGCACTTCAAAGGAGAGATACTTCCATGTGTCTATAGTTAGGAAGTACCCAATGGAGTGATATAAATGATCAAACTAATAGCTTGTTTATTTATTTGTTTTTTTCTTAACAATGTCCAGATTCCTCCAAAGGACCTCAACCATCTTCAGGTGTAAATGGAAACACACAGCCTCCCGGCAATGCCGGGCAGCCCCCTGCCTCTGCCATCCCTTCTCCTAGTGCCAGCAAGCCCTGGCGCAGCAAGTCCATGAATGTCAAACATAGCGCCACCTCCACCATGCTGACTGTAAAGTCGAGCCCAGCCACTTCGCCCACACCAACTTCAGACAGACTAAAGCCACCTGTTTCAGAAGGGGTCAAAACTGCTCCCTCAGGACAGAAATCCATGCTTGAAAAATTCAAGCTGGTCAATGCCAGGACTGCTTTACGCCCCCCGCAGTGTCCTAGTTCAGGACCCAGTGATGGTGGGAAGGATGACGATGCCTTTTCTGAATCTGGTGAAATGGAAGGTTTTAACAGTGGTCTGAATAGTGGTGGCTCAACAAATAGCAGTCCCAAAGTGTCACCTAAACTGGCCCCTCCAAAAGCTGGAAGCAAAAATCTCAGCAATAAAAAGTCTTTGCTACAGCCAAAGGAAAAAGAGGACAAGAACAGGGACAAAAATAAAGTTTGCACTGAAAAACCAGTCAAGGAAGAGAAGGATCAGGTGACAGAGACGGCTTTAAAAAAGACCTCTAAAATTGCAAGCTTGATCCCAAAGGGCAGCAAGATGACAGCAGCTAAGAAGGAAAGCTTAATTCCATCTTCCACTGGGATTCCAAAACCAAGCTCAAAGGTGCCAACAGCAAAGCAAACTATTTCACCTGGCAGCACAGTGAGCAAAGAGTCTGAAAAATTCAGGACTACAAAGGGAAGCCCTTCCCAGTCCCTCTCTAAGCCCATAACCTCTGAGAAAGCAAGCACATCCACCTGCCCTGCTCCTTTGGAAGGAAGGGAAGCTGGCCAAGCTTCTCCCTCTGGTTCCTGTGCCATGCCAGTGGCACAAGGCAGTGGGCAGAGCACAGGAAATGGTGCTGTTCAACTCCCTCAGCAGCAGCAGCACAGTCACCCGAATACTGCCACTGTGGCACCATTCATATATAGGTAAGGTGCCTCTATTCATCCATATTTACAGGTCTATGTACTCAAAGTGTAATAATGAAGGTTGCTGGAGTGATGCTTTATGTAGTCATTTTGAAAGATAGAGGCCTAGAACTTAATATGGAATCTTAGTCTGGAAACAACCTCCAATATGATCTAGTCCTATTTTCTCTCTCTCTCTCTCTCTCTCTCTCTCTCTCTCTCTCTCTCTCTCTCTCTCTCTCTCTCTCTCTCTCAGAAATTGCAACTTTCAAAAATTAACCTACTTGTAGTCAAAACAACATAGAACCCAGATGACATGATTCTCTCCTGTGTTTAATAATGCTATTATTACTACTACTGTACTGTTACTATTAATGGTAGTAGTGTTTTAAAATTATTCTCAGTTTTATAGAGTTTACAGATACTGGGAGAAAGCGTACCATAATAGTTAAAAGGAAAGCCTCTGGAATCACACAGATGTGTATTTAATCCACAGCTTTGCCACTTACCAGCTATATGACATTGGAAAAATTACCTACTATCTCTTGGTCTCATTTTCTTCATCTGTCAAATAGGAATAATAGTGTACCTTGTAGAGTTGGGAATATTAACAGAGACAATGCATGTAATGTGTTTATATTCTAGCATTTTATAAATGTTTATAAAGCATTACTTCACCAATGTAAGTTTTATATAAGTTTCTAGATAAAAAGGATTACCTGTATAATTAGTATTTTTGTATTTTGTTTTTGCATTCTATTTATTATTTATTTTACTATGTATTTTATTTTATATGTATTTAAATACACAATATATGCTACATTTAAAAATATGCATCCTACTACACAGTTATAAAAAATAGCACACTTTGCCTGTTGTTCTGTGATTTGTTTTAACCAATTAGAAATATGTCAGTCATTGCTGTGTCTCCAGTTTTATTCACTGCCTGGTTAGTAAGGAGATGATGGCGTAGGGGGGAATGACATCTGCCTTTTTCCATCCTTCTGGCAGGTTGGCAGTTTAACAACAGAAAGGAAATTTTATGAGTAGGAAGTAGGACCTGCTATAATTAAGAAAGAGTTCTGACTATATAGTTTAAAAATTTATTGAATTTATTAAGCATATTTAAAAAAAATAAAACAAATAATGGTAATTTGCTTTTCCTCAACGAAAAAACCTAGTGCTTTTTTTTCCCCCTGGGGCTTTATACATTCAGTAAAATGAAATTATAAATGATTATGTTTAAGTTCTTGGACCACTTCAGTGAAATCTTACTATTCTGAGTTCAGTAGCAATAATTCATTTAAAACCTTCCTATTTGGATCAGATACGAGTCTTCAGCTCTTTCTACTCCAGGGTCCTTAGCTGACAAAGCAAAATTTAAAATGTCAAAATCATAATTCACGCTTCAAAATATATGGAAAAAAAATCATGAAGTTTTAAATATGTCAAACTCAGAACACTTGTGGATCTCAAATACATTCTGTAAAAACATTGTTTCAAGAAATCACAAATGAATTTTGTAGGAAAGTACAAATATAGATCTGATAATTTAGCTGGCTTCTCTCTATAAGTAGTAATAGGCTTTTTTTTATCATTTGCAATAAAATATCCTGTGGATACAAATGTAGTTGTTTCCATTTGAAAGTGTAGCTTTGAACTATTAAAAAAAAGAAGCAGCACAGTTTAGAAGTTAAAGTGTGGATCCAGATTGCTGTCCCCTTTGAGTTTCTGTTTGCCCTCTTTAAAATGAATATTATAAATGTGAGGGAATGTAGCCAAATAGTGATTCACAGGCTGTAGTCTGTCTTCCTGCACTCTTGTTCAGAAACAGTATCCTGAGCTGGTTGAGGTGATGTAGCCGTGTCACCTGGGTTGTAATCTCAACACCACCATCGATGAGTTATGGGACCTTGGGTAATATATTTAAAGAATCTGAAACTCAATTTCCTAATTCTGGCAGTTAATGGTTTTCGTATTAGTCTAATTTCCTATCCAATGCAAGGTATCTGTATAAATATTTTGTAAGTTAATTATCCCTACAAAGTGATAAAAGTAGTTTTGAAATTTGTTGTTATCTTTATCCATTTAATGAGTAGATATAACTAAGACTGAAAGATGGAGAATGTAAGAAAGGATTTCAGTTCAAGTAAGAAGTTCCTGATAATTAGAGCTATCTGGAATTAGAATAGGCTGCCTTTTAAAGTATTAAGGTGATCACCAGAGGTATTTAAGAAGTGATAAAATGACCAGTGGCCATAGTTTAGGCAAAGGAAAATCACCAAATACTTTTTTATTTATATACCTGCCACTCATTCTGTAAATACTATGTAACAGGGGATACAAAGATTAAAAAAAAAAAATGAAGCTCTGTCCTCTGGGAACTTAGTCTATCGGTTATAATGATGAAAATATATTCAAAAATATAAGACCATTGCTGTTATAAAAGTACCTATATATGCAACATATAGAGGCAATGTAGAAGAAAGAGATTTTTTAAAAGTCTTACATAAGGTAAGAGTCAATTAATGCATCACAGAGAAATTCAGGTGAGATGAAACTTAAAGGATTATTTAGAATTTATCAGGTGAAAGGGAGAATGTTGTGTCATCATCCAAATTTGATAGTCTACAGTTTTATAATCCAGGCATGATGGAAAAAATAGTAGGTAAACTGTGAAGAGCTATGCAAATGCTAGTAACTGAAACTGCTATAGAGTCTAGAGAAAATTATCATGCTTCTTAAGCCCATTAATTAAATATAAGCCAAACCCTATTAACAGACTTGATTTTTAAAATTAGGATTCATGACTATATGAATGGGAGACTAAAAAAAGAGAATTTGGAAATTATCCATATTTTCTTCTCTTTCAATCCCTCTTCCTACACATCCAATTTTCAGCTAACTAACTCTTCTTCCAAAACATACCCTCAGTCTGGCTTTCTTTCCATTTCCACTCCCCTTCTCCTGGTCCAAGCTATGTCACCACCAATTCTCATGTAGTTTCTAGTGAGTCTCCCAGCTTACACTCTGGGCCATTTGCAATAACATCCTTTGCATCGTAGGCACTCTGACCTTCTAAAAGTATAAATAATATATGTCATTCCAGTTTATGAAGCCATTAGTTAGATTTTCATTACACTTAAAAAATAAAACTCAAACATCTGACCGTGATCTATATGAAGCCCTATGTAATCCAGCCGTCTGTTTACTTCTCAGGCCACGCTCCTGTGACTCTACCCCCTAGTACACTTATCCCATCCTTCATTCTGTTTCTCAACAAACCAGCTCGTTCTGCTTTAGGGACTTTGTCATAGATGTATTCTCTCTGTCTATAAATACTGCTTTCCAGATCACTGCGGGTCCTGTATTGTCATTAGATCTCTGCTTATCTGCCATCACTTCACAGAAGCCATCTCCAATCATCTAGTCCAAAGGATCTTCTACCAATACCTCTTGCCAGAATTACATCTCATCTCATCATCCTCTTGTATTTTCTTCAAGCAGTTTATTACTAATTGCTATCTTCTTGTTTACTTATTAAATAGTGTGATTTCAGCCACCTCCCACTATAATGTAAGCTCGTTAAGACTGAGAGTCTTGTCTTTCTTATTTAGCAGCAGAATTGCCTAGGACAGAACCTAGCCTCTGTAGGCCCCCCTTCCCTCCCTCCCTTCCTTCCTTCCTTCCTTCTCTTTGTGGGCTCTTTTGTATGTTCCTCTTCTTTCTTGGTGTCCACCTTTTATGCTTTATTCTTTAAACTAGTTTTTCTTGCCGAGGTTCAAAATAGTTACCTTAACTCCCTCAGATTTTCAAAGAAATGTCTCCTCTCTTTGTATGTGTCATTTTTCTTCCATTGCTTTTGCATTCTTTACTTTACAGCTATATTCTCCATGCTTGCAAGGATATGTTAAATAAAATAATAAAATAATTGGTTAATTAAGCAGAGAAGAGAGACCTATATGTTTTTCCTAAACCTGTCTTTTTAGCAGCCTTCAACAAAATTTTTAAATAACTGTTAACTAGGTTCATAATTTGCTATTTTGAGTTCTACATTTTTTTCTTTATTTTCTTACCATTTGTAGTAAATGCCAAGAAAACAATGCATTGGACATAAATCAAATATCTAGAGGTAAAGAGAGCAGAATCAAGGGTATGAGCAATTCTCAAAAGAGAAAATTATCTAACCTTTAGATAAGGCAAGTCACTACTATTGAAGAGAAAAGTCATCATACTGCTTAAGCATCTTAATTAAATATAAGCTGGGACCCTATTTACGCACTTGATTTTTAAAATTAGGTCAAAGAAATCTAAATTTAGAGGTTTTCCTTCTTTTGATGTAATATGGGTCATTTTCTACAACAGTATCATGGATTCTCAGAAGAGATTTTTGCTGTAACAGGTTTCTGTGAGATTACAGATTTGCCTAGGATGTGACATGGGAAATTGACATTAAAATATGCTATGTTCAGAGAGGCAAAGAATGCAAAACATTAGTTTTGAAAATGTTTGCTCACAAGGTTTAAAATTTGGCTTATTTGTTGAACCAGTAGATTGAGTAGAAGGAGCTGTGAGTTTACAAAGATTGAAATGTAAAGTGTACAACCATCATTCAGATAAAGATTTTGTAAGCCCTGCAGCTACTATTACCAAAAAAAACCTCCTAGAGCTGATTACTGTTACAAATTATACTGCAATTGTGGTTTTATGTGAACTGGGCGTAATTGGTCATCAACACAACTAAAGCTCTGGAATTCTTGCCTTGCAAGCTTGTGTTTTGCTAGGTTCGATATATATCTGTGCATTGGGTAGCCATTTAAACTCCCACACACAGCAATATTTTTAAGATGGAATATGGAGACACTGCTAGAAGAGGTGCTATTGTGTAGAATACTGCTATGAGTTGGCATTCTCTCAGCATAGAGGGTTATAAATTACCTTTTCTATACTTGGCTTATGAGATCCGCTGCCGGATTGCCTAACCCAAATCATCATTGTTTCTTCTTTTTGTATTTTATTTTTTCTTGGAAAGAATTTTAAACTCACAGAAAATTTGCAAGAATAGTGCCGACAGCTCTCATATATACTTCACTCAGAGCACCCAAAGACTTTATTCAGGTTGCACCAATTGTCCTGAATGTATCATGTTTAGTAATTCAGGATGAATATTACACCCCGGTGTCATGTCTTCCTAATATCCCTCAATCTGGAACAATTCTTTAATCTTCTCTTGACTTTCATGACAACGATATGTTGAAGGCCAGGCATTTTGTATAAAGTTTCTAATTTGGGTTTGTCTGATATTTCCTCATGATGCACATACTCACACACAAAACAAATAGATATATTTTTTGTCTGGAATGTCACAGAAATTATGCTGTGTTCTTCTCATCAAATCCTATCAGTTGTCATATGATATGTTATTGATATTCCCATTTTGGTGTTGTTAAATTTGCTTGATTGAGATAACATCTGACACAGTTTTCTATTCTAAAATTACTTTGCCCTCACATGTATTTAATAAGTATTTTTATGGGAAGATTATTTTGAGACTTTGTATAAAAAATATATTCCTTGGTTTACTTTTACCCATAAATTTTAGCATCCATTGAGGTTTTTTGCCTAAGTTAATAATTTACTCTGATGGACAAGAAGTGGTTTTCAAATTCCACCATTTCTTCTGCATTTACCAAGAGATTCTTCTGCAGTATGCAAGAGATTTCTCTTCTCTCTATCTGTTATCTGTCTATTTAAATTATATGAACTAATGGATTCCATGGATTATAATCCATTACTATCACAACTTATTTTGGTAATTAAATTTTCCCAGATTTGGCCACTGGGAGCCCCTTCAAGTTACCTTGTGTGTCCTTTCAATTTGCCTCATCACTCTTTGAGAAATTCCTTTTTTCATGGCTCAAAGTGTTCTAGGTGCATCCTGTACTTTCCCTAACTTGGCTTTAACTTTTATTAAAGGACATCCAGTTTCTTTTTGTGGTGTATTTAGGAACCAAGAGTGTGAACACATTTTATGAGTGTATCTCAGATGGGGGAATGGAGACTTAGCTACTGTAATCGAATGCTAGGTCTCATATATTGAGGAAGATAGCCACAAATCAGCCCCTAAGGAATGCTTTTAAGGTCTGTGTGTTTTGAGTAAAGCAAAAGTTGCACTCCCAAAACACATTCTGAATATTCTTATGCTCCATACAGATTTTCTTAGAGGGAGATAGACTCTTTATAACTACCGTGGCCACCATCATTCTGGCTCCTATGACAGCTGCTGGTTTTGTTCTAATAAGAACCAATTAGCGTTGGGCTTTAGACAGCCTTCTCAGTGAACTACTAAATGTGACAGCTTCTGAGAGATGAGTTGGAGAATACGGAATCTGTAGGACAATAGGCCAAACCTGGCTCATGGCCAGTTCACCAAGGCACCCTGCCTCCGTGATCCTTCTTGGCAGGCAGCCAGTCAGCTTTCCCTGGGGTCCGCAGTCTCATTCCATAATCTCCATTTAAATTTTGTCAGCACGTAATAAAAATTCTTAGGAAACTTCAGAGGATTTTTTTCCTCTTCATTCAGAGACTATAGGCTAACCAAGAGGTCAGGGAGGTGCAGTGGCCCACAAGAAACAAACCCGAGTGGAAGAATAGACTGTAGTAGGTTTTAGAAATGAGTGGGGAAGGGCTATTGGTAGACAGTGGATATGAGAGAATCTGGGGGCCAGAGAAGGGAAAAAATAGGCTTCACAGAGGGCAAGATACATTTGCCATTTTATTGACCAGAATCCCACATGCCTCAGGAAAATGCCTTTCCAGACCTTTAGTAATAGCAAGCTGAGTTCAGAATTATTTTGCAAAGCACACATTTTTAGTTTTTCTTGCAGATGAACAAACTGAAGTTCAGAGAGGCTAGATAACTTACCAGTGCCACATGAGTTAGTGACTATATAGTGATAAGGACAAGTTTTACCCCCAAACTTAATGTATGCACCATTATGCAACTTTCCCTTCCATATGCTTTATCCACCAATAATACTGTTTTTCTATCACTACTGATATGATTTATTCATCCATTTATCAGGTATTTGTTGAGTGCAACCTATGTGCTAGGCATGGGGCTAGACGTTGGAGTACAATGGTGAGCTTAAACAGAGAGAATAGAATCTTGTTTGGGAGATAAACATTAATCAAATAATTACATTAATTTCATATTACAAGATTACAAGAGTATGAAATGTTGAAAGGCAGGAGACTTTACCTGATCAGTGAAATTAGAGAGGATTCTTTAAGAAACAGTCATTTCAGCTTAGACTTGAAGGGAAAAACTCAACTGGACAAAGCAGGGAGGAAAATAATCAAGTGCGAAGACTCAGTTTAGCTGGTGGGCTGTGGGAAGTGGGTAGAAGGCCACAGTGGACAGAACTAAGGGGAGACCTGTGCAAGATGAAGCTGGAGAGCAGGCAGAGGTCAGACTGTGCAAAGCCTTATAGGCTCCATAAGGCTTTCACCCAAGGGCTCCATCAACGAGGACTGGCTCTGTTGAGAAAAGATTGTGAGTTCAATTCTGTATGTTGTGGGTTTGAGGTATTTTTGTGACAACCAAAAAGAAATGTTAATTAGACAGTGATTATACACATCAGAATTCAGAGGACAGTGCTGGGTCAGAGTAAGAATTTTGGAATTCACATGTGTATAGGTAAGAATACAATGAGTATGATTGAGACCATCTAGAGAGATTATAGAACGAAACTGTAAGAAGTTTAGGATGTTTGAGGAACCCCCACAATTTTGTCCTCTGTATCCCCTTCTTTTTACTACCCAGAACCACAACATTTAATGGTTATATAAAGGCGAACAGAAGAGTAAAAAGGTAAAAAAAAAAGTAGACTCTGGAGGGTATGAGAAACAAAATGGCAGATTTCTGTCTAAGAAGCCAAGGTAGGAGAGTTTCATGAAGAGAGGAATGATCTGCTTTCTAAATGCTGCCATGATATCAAATAAGGTGAAGACTCAAAATGTCTGTTGAGTTTAGTGACATTGAAGTCCTTGGTGTCCTTAATAGTATATCCTGTCACTAGAATAGTATATCCTCTTTCTTAATTTTGCTATACTTCTTGTATTTGGTTTTAAGTTAGAATAAGATAGGAAAAGTCTGCCAGAAATTATTAAAGGCCAAGGCACAGCTTTGTATTCTTGCATAGCTGTATCTTTCTTTTATACAGAAATTCATACACATGACACATGCATCCAGACATATAACATATAGTTTCCCATGATTTCTTAAAATCTTAATAAACTTTTCAGGGTTTCTACAGCTGTCAGTTACATATCAACTATTTCTGATATTATTAATTACACATTTTCTCAAAACCAGGATTTAGGATAAAATCAAAACATTAATTAAAAATCGGTTCAAAAATATACTAAATTTTTCTATCACATATAAATATGCTCTATAGATGCTTTTAAAATAACAAATACTTAGAGATCATTTATCATGGCAAATGAGATATCTAAAAAAACACAGTCCAGCATGCAATATAATACTGGTCTGCCTCATTCTGTATCTCAGTATTTCGTGTTGTGAGTTTTCTAAAAATGTGATGATTTGGATCAAATACTTAGAGATTTTGAAGCTAAATCAAAAAAGAAAGTGTATCTTACAACATTTACCTATGCATAAAAGGAAGAAATTATGCATGAAGTAAAGCTGGGATATCAAAGTATGCAGTTCCTCTGCTGAGTGCTTTTAATTTGATTAGACCTACTCTTTACATGTTAACCATGCACACAAATACATACCCATGTACACAACACACAAATACAAAACACATAATATAAAATATAGCTGTAAGAATGATAATTTATTTCTAATTGGATTTAATTTTTTCTGAAATATTTAGTAATTCAGCCATCATAATGATGTTTATAGCCCTGAACAAATTCATTATTTATTTTTACTCATTCTTTGTCATTTAGGATATATGTTGTAAAATTTTTGTTAAAAAATAAAGAATTTTAGTTGTGGTTTCAATGCTTTTGTTATTCTCACAAGAACATAATTAGGCTAGATTTCCTCTGAAACAGCAAAGAAAATTGGATCTTTTGAAGTCTTTTGCCCCCCAAAATATAATCAATTATTGTTAGTTACAAGCTTTCAAATTTAGGAAAGTCTAAAAGGTCTGATTTAATATCTTATTTCTACATGGATTGTGAGTGAAAAGTAATGAAATTCTCCTACAGATAGACAGCTCTGGAACATCTCAATCATAAAGAAATGTTCATTTACCTTGATGGAAAACTTATAGTAAATTGATATCTTCTCGTACTGGAGAACTTCCACTTTGATGAGTCACTAGTAACTATAGTTGCTGTTTGCTTCTGTCTTCTTGGTTAATTTCAGAGCACATTCAGAAAATGAAGGTACCTCTTTGCCATCTGCTGACTCCTGTACCAGTCCTACGAAGATGGATTTATCATATAGTAAGACTGCTAAACAGTGCCTAGAGGAAATATCTGGTAAGTGACTGATTAATGGGTATGTCAGACCTCGGACTTTTTGTAATCTCTCTGTAAGTCTTTTTCTTAAATCGTATTTGTGCTATACTATTTTTTATGTAAAAATGGACTGTGTACATATCATGCTTCAGAAGTTCTTAGATATTTGGCTGTTTTGTTTAGGATGATCTCTTTGTTGCTCTGTAAAGAATGGTATTGCTTTCAGAAGCTGAGACTGTAAGTCATTTTGCCCTCAGTCAATTTGAATATAATCAGAGAAAACCTGGAGAATCTTCTATTGCTAATAGGGCAGGCAGCCCTTGGGAATATTTGGAGATTGAAAAAATTAAATCAAGTGTTGTATAAATATTCCATGGCTAATCCAACCTTGCTCTGTTTTCAATTCTGTGCTATTTAGAACACTTCTACTGGCTCCGAATGTGCATTTTGGAAAAAAAATAATCTAATTAGGGAAGTATTTTATTATATATAGATAACGTAAGGGGGAAAAATACATATGCCACAGTTTATCAGAATGTCGAGTGTATAAAGCAAGGTTTTAGCTTGAGTACAGTGTTTTTCCTAGGATCCAGGTAATCCTAGGCATACATGTAAGGCCTTTGGAGTAATTTCGTTATATATAGATCTAGAATCATGAGGAACCAAGTAACCTCTAAGCAAAATATTCTGCTCCTAAGGGGAGAGTTTAAGAAGACTTTTATCTGTTTCTAAGCATAAGAATGCATGAAAGTACAGGTATGTCTGTTATTCCAATAAATCTCTGGCTCAGCCCTTGTGTATTCACAAAAGTTCAAAGAAAAAAAAAAACTTAAGTAACTATTTAATTTAAAAAATATCTGTAGTACTTTGGGGAATCAAAGTGTAAGTATTGCCCTGACTTTTGAAAGTAATTATATCACAAATTTTGGGGTTGAGAACTTTGCCCACTTTGGCAGACCTGAAACACAATTTGGCAAGCGTTAGACATCATTCCTGCAACGTCCTCCAGTGGATATTGACAACAATGACAGAATGTTCCAAGGATACCTTTTAAAATTAACATCAGTGAGGGCCGGCCCGGCGGCGCACTGCTATAGTGCGCCACTTGGGAAGCGCGGTGGCGCTCCCATATTGACAACAATGACAGAATGTTCCAAGGATACCTTTTAAAATTAATATTGACAACAATGACAGAATGTTCCAAGGATACCTTTTAAAATTAATATTGACAACAATGACAGAATGTTCCAAGGATACCTTTTAAAATTAGGCGGGGGCAACACCGAGGGTTGCGATCCGTTGCCGGTCATGAAAAAAAGACAAAAAGGAAAAAAAAAAAAAATTAACATCAGTGATATCAGGCATCAGAGGTTTCATGTGAAGATTCCAAAAAAGGACAGTACAGGGAAAGGGTAGAAATGGTAATGCCAAGACATAGCTATGGGGTTAGTATTTGTACATTTTTTTAATATTTGGGGAAAATGTTGGCTTTCCTTTAGCTGTAGGTAGTACTGTGATCAGAATGATGCTGTGTATCTGTATTGTGACCAGATATTTTATGAACCTAACATGGCATGAAGATGTATATACTTCACATATTTTATACATGAACGTCTTCAATATGCCTGTGAAATACTAAAGCTCAAATCTGTAGGAAAAACAGAATTTAGTAGTTTAAATTGTAAATTTTACAAAGGAAAATTGTTTTATGAAATTAGTGTATCACTGAGTATATCTGACTGAATAATCCATATTTGATTTTTTTCCTCCAGTTTCTTATTCTACCTATCATTTGATAACTTTTTTTAATATTTCCAGTTAATATTTCCATTGAATGTGATGTTTTTAATAGAATACTTGAAAGTGAAATAGAAATTAGACTTTAATATAATATAATAATTTAGTGTATTTATTAGTAGGTATAATATTATTTTGCAGCAGTAATGAATTATTTATATAGAATCATGTCTATGATTTAGGTAGGAATATAATAAAATAAAGCAATCAAGTAAATGCTGCAATGACGCTTATCTGATTGTGTCATTCTTACTGTCATCTTTTTAAAATTAGCCTACAGTGAGGTAGCACAAATGTCTCTTGATGAAGACTTCAGATTTGATGGAAGAAAGATGATATTTATTTGTGGTTATTAAGTTATAAATTGAGTACAGTAATTGGAGAAATCTAGATCAGGATCTATCAGGCCAGTGATGGGAAGATGACTGTCATATCATAATGAGACTGCATATACTCATCATTTTTAAATTTTAGTTTCTGGATCACTGTCACTCTGGGCATTACAATTCCTGCCTTAATTTTTGGATTTTAATATTTACAAAGATGATTCTTCTAACACCCTGGCCTCTCTTTCAGTGATCTTGTCTTGCAGTGCCTCCTGAGCTATTTAATCTCAAGGTCATATCCTAGATCTGGGCATCAATTACAACTTCTCTCTAACCTCACTTTCATGTACCCCACTATTGCTCGGTTCAACCTCCTGTCTTTTCAGTACTCTTCCTTTTGTTACCTGACTCCACCAGTGATTCTAGGATTTCCAGTTCATTGATCCCACCACTTTTTAATGTCCCTCACTAAATTCTGCATATCTTTCTTCCTCCTTAATAAGCTAAATTCCTATGATAACTGAATATAATTTACTCTTGTACACACTCTTAACTTCCTTTCCTGTCTCTCACTTCATTGTACTCATTTGATGAAATCACAGACCTGGATACTTTCAGCTATCCACCTGTTCCATATCAACAATGAATGAACCAGGAGAAAAATAGATCGCATGTTGATGCAGCTCACTTTATATTCATGGCCACCAACCTGAAGTTAATAGTTAATGCTTCCAGCAATCATTCCATATTTCTCTTGCTTGTTTACTCTTTTAAATTCTTAGATGACAGGTTTATAATGTTTTCCTCTCAAACCTGCAATACCATCTGTCCCATCCCTTTTCTTAACTGATGACCTTCATGTGCATTTCACTGAACAAATTAAAGAACAGAGAAAAGAGGATGACAATCCCCTGCCACCACATTTACCTGAGTATAGCACTTATACCCACTTAGAACCTATTTACTCTGCTTTTCCTTGTATTACTCTCTTTTCTGCTCTCTAATATCTTCCTCTCTCCCAAATCATTATCTTTATCCCATGAGATGCTATCATCTCTCCAATCTTAATTTTTTGAAAAACAACTTCCCTTGACCCCAGCTTCCCTCCAAGTTCTGCTATCATTTATCTCTTCCAATTTACAGCACACTCTAATGAAGAGTAGAGTAGCCTTCAATCACCATCTCTAATTCCTGTCCTCCCACTGTCTCCTAAACCTACTCTAATTAGGCTTGTAGCCTCATTTCTCCATCAAAACTGCTCTTGTTGAAGTTCCCATTAATGTCAACGTTACCACATCCAAGAATCAAGTCTCCGTCATCTTATTTCTCCTCTCAGCAGCCATTGTCCTCTGCTGAGAAAGTTCCTTTCTCGGTTTCCAGGGTACCATGTTCCCTTGGTTTCCCTCAAACCACACTGTTCTTTCTTGGTCTCCTTTCCAAGTTATACTTTTTTCTCCTTGACAGGCCTCTGTTTTTGGACTTCTCTGCCTATAATATGCTTCCTTGGTGATTTAATATTATCTCGTGATTAATCTCATCTCTTGGTGATTTAATATTATTTCATTATATACTGACGGCTTATAAATGTCTCCCTCTAATCCTGTCTCCTGCACTCCAACTCAGATAATCCAACTGCCTACATACCCTCTTTACTAGATTATCTCATAGATGCTTCCAGCCTGTTATCTTCAAAACTGAACCCCTGATACTACCTTCAAAAAATTTTACCCCTCAAGAACTCTTGAACAAGTTTTCTCTATTCTCCATCTTGGTTAATGGTAATTCCATCATTCCAGTTGCTCAAGCCTGAAATGGAAGACTCGTCCATGACTCCTTCTTACCTCTCACACATCATACCCAGTCATTAGCACATCTTGTTGGCTTCAAAGGTATTCTTTGCTATCTTAACTCAGAAACAAGTAGTATATATGAATTAACTTGTTGAGATATCTCTCAGTAGAGTGTTTGAATTCTTTGCTATTTTCTCTCAGAGAATCAGAAACTAAATAAATTCAGATGATACAGTATCTAATTCATTATAAGAACTAAGGTAATAAATAGACTAAGATAACCTAGAATAACTACATTTCCAAAATATATCCAGAATTCAGCCACATTTCTCCTTCTATACTTTTTTGTCTGTTTTATTAACTAGTATATCCCCAGTGTATGGTTGGTACATAGCTACCACTGAGTAAATGTGTTTAAAGTGAAGTTAATGTAAGGAACATATTGTAGAAAGGAGAACCAGAATGCTTTCTCCTTCTATACTTTTTTGTCTGTTTTATTAACTAGTATATCCCCAGTGTATGGTTGGTACATAGTTACCACTCAGTAAATGTGTTTAAAGTGAAGTTAATGTAAGGAACATATTGTAGAAAGGAGAACCAGAATGAAGAAGGAACCTAATCATGTTCAGGAAAACCATAGACAGGAAAGGTGGGAATGATAGCTTTGGCTTTATAAAGCATGCAGAAAGTAATCACAGTGAACTTAGGGTGAATAACACTCAACTAAAGGGACACACATAAATGGAAAATAAAAATTTAATCTTGATTATGTCATCACTGAATAATCAATGAATATGAGGAAAAAAGTTTAGTCATTCAACAGTAACAATAGAACAGTCCAGAAATACTCCCTGATGAGCTGGGATTTTTAAAAGAACATGTGGGCGGG